ATTTTGTGTATATAGAAATGTTTTAGATCTTTGAGTCATCTCAGAAAATGGGAGCAAACAAAGTGTATGCGTTATATTTTTGTTACAGTGTATAAAACATGTTGAAAAAGTAACAATGCAGTGCGATTGTTGGTCTTGTTGTTCGCTATCTACCTTAGCTTTTTTGTTATTTTAGTTTATTTGCCATAGCCCCAATCTTTACATAACCATAACCATCCTTAGAGCATATGCAATGAAGTTAAGATAAGATAGTACTTTATTGATCCCAATTTGGGAAATGTTTGTGATTGCAGCAGCATAAAAAGAAATTGGCAGAGTACAACTACACATACAAAAAATAAAGAAAATAAACAAGAAAGAGAAAATATTCATAATGTTGAATTTAAAAAATGAACAAAAACAAGATATAAAGCAAGTATTATATATACATAAGGTTATTGTGACGGATGGGATATTAAATAGGTATGAAACTGGGATATTAATAATAACTGAAATATGTAAAATGTACAGTGTGATTTTACTCCAAGAGATATTGTGCTGGTACCAACATTTTGCTAAACACTAACACCCAGCAGAAGACATGTTAGGTATTCATTTCTCAATTAACATTTGGGAATAATGTCAAAGATCCTATATTTAGTCTTTCCCCAATCTCTCAAATGGTATTTTTTTATTTTGTATTTCTTCACACATATGAGGAGCCCAACTATAGGAGCGAACTCTATAAGTTCTTCAAAGTATATTAGTGGAGGCGCAGTGGATGGTGAGTTTCCGTTCTTCAAACAGCAAGCTTTGTGACTAAGCTCAGTGTTGCTAAAGCATAGCCCACAATGAGACTGTTCCTAATTAACACCCATCCGGCAACACATTTAAAATAACTTCAAAGAAAAAACGTTAAGCTTAAAAATACAACCAGAGCCAGCACTGAAAGTAAACTACTCTCTTTTTCGCATGATAGACACACACACACACACACACACACACACACACACACACACACACCACACACACCACCACACACACACACACACACAACACACACAACACACACACACACACCACACACACACCCCCCCCCCACACACACAACACACCACACAACACACACACACACACACACCCAATGATAGAACACACACACACACCCACACACACACACACACACAGCCATGTGCATTGCTTAAAAAGATAAGCTTTTTAGGTTTGTGGATTTACAGTCCCGCTATTTGGTTAAGCCCTATAGCCAAGGGTAACATAAAGTTATTTTAAATCGTTTGTGACCATTCCGATATTGTTTGTTGTAATTATCAACCTCTATAAGTTGAACCCTAACGAGCTGAATTGTGTCTGGCAAACAACAAACAGTGCTTGTGTACAATCCCCCTCATTATGATTCATCTCCTCCACAAGTGAGCTGAAAGTTATTGCTGGGAAAATGATAAACAAGCCTTCTTCTCTCTGCATCACATCTGTCCTGGCCCTTGCCTGATTGCTTTGTGAGCGCTGCTTAATTGCCAATTAGGGGGAGACCAGGACTGCAATTACAATAGGTGTGTGTGTGTGTGTGTGTGTGTGTGTGTGTGTGTGTGTGTGTGTGTGTGTGTGTGTGTGTGTGTGTGATTGTGTTTGCTTGTGTGTAGTTCAAAACTTGTAAGAGGCATCAAATGAGACAAGGTTAATTGGTCGTCCTTGAAGCGATGCTCAACATACGTATATGTTGACCAGTCAGTGTAGAAAAGTGCATTGAAAGGTCAT